TATCAAAAAGGGGGAGATTGTTGAAACATTTTAATATTTCGATATAACAAATTAAGTTAAATGGATTTTAAGATTTTCCAAATGATTTTCTAAGTATATTCGATATAACTATTCGAATATCAAACATTACTCCAAATATTTCAAAATCATTTTTGATCCTTACTTAAGTGTAAAATTAAGTTTTAATCATAAAACAATTTCAAAATAATTTTACAAAGTATATCGAACCAATTCAAAGCCAAAAATTCCAGATTACTCAGAGGGAACCGATTCCCCCCCATAGGAGGAACCGATTCCCCCTGAATGGTTTGGCTCCGAGATTTCCAGAATGCTCGGAGGGAACCGATTCCCCCCAAGGGGGTACCGATTCCCCCCTGTTCAACGGTCGAAATATTTGAATTTTACACTTAGGGAACCGATTCCCTATGAGGGGGAACCGATTCCCCCCACGCTCCAAGCTGTTTTATTAAATGTTTTCACACTAAAACGGCTATAATATCTTCTCTAATCATCCCCAACGTTCAGAAGTGATCCAAGGTGTATTTAAGCAAGCTTAGAAGCCATTGATCAAAGACAAGAAATATCAAGCAACTAGAATCAAGAGAGAATCAAAGAGAAAGCATCAAACCTCAAGTTTGAGCATTTCAAGCCTATTTTCATTCAATATTCTTTTTTGCTTTCAAGAACACTTTCTGTGCTCAATTGTATTCATCTTTGAGTGTTCTTTTCTTTGTTCTAGAATTGTGCAAACATCTTACCTTGTGAGGTTTTCTTGTAAGTTTGCAAATTTGTAATCTTCTCTTTGAGAAAAGAGTGTTCTCAAGAGTTGGGGTATACTCTTGAGGGAATTGTAAGGTTATCTCTTTGGCCTCAAAAGAAAGAACAAATTAGTGAATTTGTTGGAAAATCCTTAGTGTGGATAGCTAAGGTAGTGGATGTAGACTTTGTTTGAGAAAGTCGAACCACTGTAAATCGCTGTGCAATTACTTTCAATTTTCTGCAAAAGCTTCCACAAAATTTTTATTGCCAATTCACCCCCCTCTTGGCCAAGTTCGTCATTCGATTAACTCAACAAAGTTTTTAACTACAGGATATCAAAATGAAACCTAAACTAAACGTTAGTTATTGTTTTGAAAAAAATAAAGTTTGAGTACCAAAACAAAATAAAAATAAAAATTTAAGAACTAAATATGTAGTTTACCCAAAAATTTAACCTAATACGAGTAACCTCTAAAAGATAGATTAAGGGGTTGTTTGTTTACTTCAGAATGATTAAGCGTTGAATGATTCATATGCTAAATGATTCAGAGGCTCTGTATGAATTAGCTCTGAATGTGACATGCTGTTTGATAATGACTCCGAATCATTCAAAATATACTTCTGTGCTGAATCATTCAAAACTGTTTTGTTGAATCAATCAGCACTGAATCATTCAGAGGTGCAAAACAAACGCGCTGAATGTTGAACGGTTCAGCATTCAGCGCTGAATGATTCCATTCAGAGCCAAACAAATAGCCCCTAAACCTTCCAAAAAGAAAACCTATTCAAGCTTCTGTAGTTTCCGGCAAGGATATAAGATTCTTCTATATTTTGATTGTCATTTAGAATCTACATCATTGTCATTATCTTGTAAGAGAATATGGAAGGTATGATTCTTATGCAAAACCAGTGGATATTTAGTCACTAGAAATTACATGTTTAGTCACTAAACGTTTAGCATGTTTATATTTTGGTCACCAAATTATGCAACTTTTTAGTTTAATAATGAAACAATCCGAATTCCTTCCTAAATCCTTGCTTAATTTCTCTTTTTCTCTGGTTTTCCTTGTGGCGGTTTAGTTAGGTAATGATTGACAAGTTGAGAATACTATATTTTAAACAGCTTTTGTCATTTTGGTAAGGATTTTTGTGGCTGGAATACTAGATTCTGTACAAGTAATATGGGCAATTTTCATTTGTCACCTACTCATATTTTTGTTTTTGACTCGTTTTACCATAAGATCATGTCTTGGATTACGACTGCTCCAACACTTTTAAAGATTGAAAATACCATAAATTTATAGGTCATCAAATTGGTCTATAAAGTGTCATCCGTTAAACAATAATACGATCTTTACTTTTATCTCTCTCGACATCTGTAAAAAAATAAACGTTTCATAAAGTTAAGATCATCTTAAATTGACGCATTTGCACATGAGACCTGTTGTATATAGATTATCTACATATAAGTTTAGGAATCATTTGAGCTAGCGATTATAAGAGATAGAACTTCAGTAAAAATAATATTAATTATTAAATATTTGATCGATCATCCGATAAACGATATCTTATTGTTTTCTAAAACCCAACAAAGCCGGCATTTAGCCCTAAATAAAAAATAAAAAAAAACCATTAATTTTTGTACAACAATTATTGTGCATTAGAGGGAATATTCATCACTTTGTACATGCATGAACCCAAAGATATGACGGGCCTTCAATTTTATTACTTTTTTTAATTCTTTTGATTTTTCCTTTTGTGTTAAGGTAATGTCTAGCAGGACTCCCACTAAAATAAAAATAACTCATTTTCTTTTATTTGTCTTCTATATATGTATTCCATGTATTTTCAATGCACAATATCATGATAAAATTTTAGAAGAATAAATATAAATATTAATAAAATGAGAGTCAACATGAGTACGAAGTAACCGATATAAATTCTAAAATTAAGTTGTTATTTTTTAATTTGTTTAATTTTGAAATCTATAGAGATTTAAGAAATATTCAAATTGAATTTATTAAGTAGTTTCAGTGGCGAAAGAAAATGTTGTTCTTCCCAGATATCTCAAGCTCAAACAGTTGCGTCCGAAGGATCTTTATATATTGTCAATAGACTAATCATTTTTTAAAAGATACTACCTTATAACAACACTAAAATATTTAAAAAAAAAAGGAAGTATTCAAATAGAAAACGATGGGTCATGGCTTAATTCGCCTTCTTCTAGAATTAAAAGGAACTTAAAAAGTAATTTGACTCAAAATAATTGAAGAGTGAATACTTAATTTGTCTAATTTCAAAATTAAGAAGACTTGACAAGCTATTAAACCTAAACAAATGGGAATGACCCAGAGGATCAATTTGGTATTGATTTTGAAAAGTAATTGTTTAGTTTAAAATTTAAGTGTTTGGGCTGACATTAAAAAATATTTTAAGTAGATAAATTTTATACTTCGAGTGTTATTTTTAAAAATATAAAAGAATTCATGATATAATTAAGAACAAATATGTTTAAAAGTACTCTTAAAAAATTATAAATTAAAAATTCCAGCTCTTGAAAAACTACTTATTTTATGCTGTTTTTGGTCGTAGAAGTGATTTCGGCTAAAAAACTTTACTTTTAAAAAGCATTACAAAACATAACCTTAATTTGTGTGGTTTTAAAATTGAGAGGACCTAAAAATTGACGCCACCATAATTTTGGCTCCATCATTATATAAATGTACATATTTAATTTTTTATTATATATATATATATAATATAGATTCTAAAAAAAATTATTTGATATATATAAAATTTGACAAAAGATATTGATATCGTGATTAAACTGTCCTTAATTGTTTATTTTTAAAATCAACATTGACTAAATTACTGTCCATAACAATTTTTTAACCAAAAGCTATGATTGCAAAACCGAATATGGCTGCTTGTGAAGAAGCATTCAAATTGATTTGTAATCTATTTATTTATTTATTTATTTATCAGTTATGTTGTTTTCCTAGTTGAATTAAATTAATTTTTCTATAAAAAAAATAAATTAATTTAACCACTTTTTCAGCTACTAAATTACAATGGCTTGTTAGTCAAGGAACAGAACTCTAACTTGTAGCAGGGAATTTAAGAAATTAAGGAATCTCTTTGTAACTCTCCCTTACAGATGATAAAGTTGTCCCCAACGACAAAACTGGCCTGCTTTATCCCCATGGAATCTCATCAATTGTCTTTAAAATTTTCTTTTATATAAATGAAAAGGTATATTATATCATTAATATATAAACTTTTGATTATGCATCAATTTTAGCATTAAATTTTAAAATAATTTAATTTTAAACTTTACGTTTCGATCAATACATTGAACAGTTAAATCATTAATAGTTTGAAGACATGACATTTTGATGTTGACGAGAAAATATAAAATTATACTTTTTATTTCACCTTCTTATATTCTTCATCAAAATTAGATTTTTTCTATCTATTTTCAGCTGTGATAAAAAATTGTCTTTTACGTCATTTGTGGCTACTTATACATTGATGAATTTGTCGCATCGTCCACTTTATTGATTTAGATGTTCTCCAAGCTTTTTTTAAAACACATAAAATTAAGCATAAAATCCACTATTTTTAGGGGTTAGGAGATTTATCGTATTTAAGGAGTTTGTTCGAAAATCTGAATGATGAGAAGTATGTTTTCAAGGATACAAACAACATACGTAGAATCAAACCTCATCAAAAGACCGTCGAATGAGATCAAAGCATTAGAACGTTGAGACTTTAGGTGGATTTTTGTCGCCTTTGAGTGTATTTAAAGAAAAATCAACCCATGGAGAAGAAAGATGAGTGAAATACGAATGTTTTGATACCAGTCTTATTGTGAATGGAGGCGAGTGACAGACAACGATTGACTGACAACGATGACTAGAGGATCAATTGACGATTTTCTACATGAGAACAAGAAAAACCCAATTAAATCATCATGTTATTAATAATTTAATGGTTCAGTATCCTAATTGAAACATAAACTAAAGTTTAATGCTAGGGTTAATGAAAATAAACTTGGACTTTAGTGATGAAGGGGTAGTTTACCCTAAATTGAAATCAATGGAAATAAAGATTGTTTTGTTAACGAATACGACCCACGTTTTTGGTTTGTATATAAAGGATGATTTTCATTGTGTTCAACAAAGAGAGAGGTTGCCATTTTTATCATTACATATCTTCCATGCTTTCAATCATTGATCTCCCTTCTTCAACAACATCCTTTCCTTTTTAAAAAAAAATACAAATGCTTGAATGAGCTGGCTTAAGCTCAAGTACCATCTCCATCTTCCTTTTTAAGCACCCTTGTCACCGCGTTTTCGCCTCCTGAGTTTCGCCGGAGAATGGGACGTCAACCTTGTTGCGATAAGGCCGGGTTAAAGCGCGGACCCTGGACGATCGAGGAAGATCACAAGCTCATGAACTTTATACTCAACAATGGTATCCATTGCTGGCGAACTGTCCCTAAGCTTGCAGGTAAATTTCCTTCTTTCTTCCCCTCCAGTTTTAGTACTAAATTGAGGTTGCGGCAGTGACTGCAATGTTGTTTACGGCCGTTACGTTGTACTGCGACCACAATTTAATACTAATAAATAATATGAATCAACTGAATTAAATTTGAATGTAATGGCCACGAGGAGTTGCAGGGCTGTTAAGATGCGGGAAAAGTTGCAGGTTGAGATGGATTAACTATCTAAGACCAGACGTTAAGAGAGGGGCGTTTACCGAATCCGAAGAGGACCAGATTATTCAACTCCATTCCCGTCTGGGAAACAGGTAAACCTTGCAAACTCGAAACTCTTTCCCTTACGACCATCTGTTCGTATCCCCGGTTTATTCCGACACGAAAGAGGAACGTTTTTTCTAGGTGGTCGAAGATCGCGTCGCATTTTCCGGGCCGTACCGATAACGAGATCAAGAACCATTGGAACACTAAAATCAAGAAGAAGTTGAAACTGCTAGGACTGGACCCCGTGACACACAAGCCTATAGAGAAAACCGATGGGAATTCGTCGAATAAGCCGGACGACGACGAAGAACGAGGCATGATTCCGAGAAAAGACGACGAGAAACCGGAGGAAAGCCGATTAGATTTGGATGAAACAAATGATATTTTCAACAACTACCAAATGTTGTGTGAGAGCTTTGACTTGGATTCATGGTTGAACCAAGGTGGAAACACTTGTTCTTCTTCATATTCAATGGAAGAATCCAACAAATCTTCAATGGGGGAAACCAATTCCACTATCCAACAAGAATCTGTAAAGCATTGGGTTGATAGTGTGGATTCATTTCTCTCATGGGACAAGCTTTATTCATCAGACCTCAACTTTCCTTAAAATCCCATCACTTTTATCAATAAAAGTCAAGTGTTTGATCATTGCATGTCTTTTTTATTCTTTATGAACTGTTTCCCCCCTCTTTCAAGCTTCCAACAATTGACCTAGGAGTTCTAAAAGCTAGTCTCCTTTTGCAACTGTAAATTTCATCATTATGGAAGTTTCCAAGGTTTACTTCACTTGTTAAATAAACACTTGTATTAATAAGTTATTCGAATTCAATTCAAAGAAAAATTATTGAACGAATCAGAATTTTAATATCATAAAACCTAATTCGAGTAGTTCAAGAATTTAATCAAACTTGAGCGTACGGTTATTCAAAAACTTTTTAAGTGTTACCGATTTGAACCGAAGCATAATAGTTATGTTATAGTAGAACTGGATTGTGTCAAATTAAAGTATATGGACTAAATCCTAAGATAAAAAAGATAAAAGGATGAAAATCATAATTTTACCTTTGTTTAGGGATTCATTGAACTGCATGCTTAGCACTTAATCTAATGTGGAACCCCATGAGAATTGTTTATTTTATGCTCATTGTTCATGCATCTATAACTCTTTGCAGGCAAAGGAATCTTGGAATGCAACTCTTCGTATATTTAAAGATTATATTTTTATACTCATATTTATTATACGAAGTAAAAAGTTATATAGATTGAATAAGAATGAGATGATTATATATAGATAGTGTAGAACTCTGTTATTACTTGTGAACTTCTAGTCTCGCATGCATCTACACATACAAATATGAGACTTATGTGAATCTTTAGATATGTGAACAATCGATAGTCACTATATGTCGATTATCTATTATCCGCAAGAACACATCTCGTATGTAATCATCAATGATCATGTGTCGGTACACATAGTTTTCTAATCTAAGCCATAACTTTATAAGATTCCTAATCAATACTAATACAATGACAACTCCTGATTAACACCTATAGAATCAGAGATGAAGCCCAAATTAAATATTGGCACGGATCAAAATTTTGGACTTTTAAGAAAAATACAATGAGTTATTAGATATTTAAATTTAAAATTCAGAAAATAATATCTAATATTTAAACTTACAATTTATGCTAAATTGTTATTAGACCTAAAAAAAATTGATATCATGAAACTATCTTTCTTTAGTTCGGCCCTTACTTAATTAAGTATTTAATAAATTCTTATATTTTTTAATTTAAATACTTATTTTTACATGAATCAAAATATCTATTTAACCCAAATTTATTAAATATAAATTTTTTATAAAGACCAGGACCTCTTTAGGCCTCAACAGAGTTCTGTCCCTGACCAAAACGACTGGAATCATCACCAAAAACACCCATTTATCACCCTCTACAGTTGTTGATCACTTTATCAATTAACAAACTAAAGAATTTACAAGTATAGTGGAATTTAACATCCTTCATTCTCTTTATACACTGTTTGTCAAATTAAATCATATGAACGTAGAGACATACATGGTTGGATTATGCCATGGGACATATTTGACGGAACTGCATCGTGACTTACAAAAACATATATAGTTTATAAAATCACATTATGTGGAACAACACTTTCAAAGGATATGTGTGGGGTACAATAACCTTTTAACTTTGAATGATTAAAGATGACATTAACCTTAAAATAAAATTACAAACAATTTTCTAGTCGAATAAGAAAGGCCGTTCTAAAACGTTAAAGCTCCAACACACCTACCAAGATAAAGAATTAAATCCAAAATCAAACTCTATGAGTTTGTTAATAACTAATGTAGGCATGTTTTTATGTTGTCATCATTGTGCCATCTTAATTAATTAATGGGTTTATTTCCTTAATATTATACCCAAGTTGTAAATGTTCGCATAGTGATCTTATTTTATAATAATTAAAGGGGTGATGACAAATATTATAATAACTTGTAAGAATTATTTTATTGGCTACTTATCTTGTTTATGCTCCTCAATTAATCCCAACAATAAATTAAACAAAAGGCCAAGTGGTTGGATTCTTTAATATTATTTTAAGACTGATGCCTTTTACGTATGCTTCACACCTAATTACTTTTCTTAATTACTTTTAAGTCATTATTAAATTTTTTAATAGTCTAGGTAATTATAAGGGTAATATTTATTCATAATCTTTCTTAACAATTGATAACACACTGTCACCCTACAGATGCATCTATTCGAATGTAAGACCTTAAGAAAAAAAAGCTTCTTTTCCCAAGTAAGAGAGAATATTTAGTTAATTAAATCAATTTTAGTTAATTTAATTTTTATGATTAAATAAATTATAATTTCGGTTAAGTCGATTTTATCAATCAATTATCAATTATTTAAATTTATAATTTCTAGATTTATTTACATAGTTTAAAATAATAAAACATAATTATTTTAATATGATATTCATAAATTAAATCTTTAATTGTTTCTAATAAGTTGGTGTATACTTTTATTTTTCAATGGAATCATTTTTACTGTAGTACCAATGATTTTTAATACTCAAAGAACAACAAACTTAATGACAAGACATAAACTGACAACAGATAATTAAAGAATTATATGGTGATGGTATTTAATTTTTTTTTTATACATTTGATCATTTTTAATATTTTCTTAAATATTTTAAAATATTTAACTATTTTTATAATTTTTAGTACACATATCTAATATGTATAATATATAGTTATAAAAAATAGGAAAATATATGATTTTAGTACACATATAATATATATTAGAATTATAGATGTTTACACCTACAATCACGTAGAGTATATTTTTCTTCCCTGTGCCTGCTCCTAGCTACCACCATTCATTTCCAATCAAGCATGTCTAACAGCCACAGTACCTCTTCTTTGGAATTGGCTGCCTCAGAGAAGTCCATCTCAATGCCGAAAACATCAACGGCACCGTCTTCCGCGAAGAGCAAAGAGACCCATGCCCGGATTGTCGAAATAAAGGGATAATTAGGAGAGAAGACAAGGTAATCAAAAGCTAGAGCTCTGGAGGCTGTAAGGAATGGTGATTTATTGATTATGCTAGCAGCCTTTTTCGAGTCCTTCCGCCCCACAAGCACCAAAACACTCGCATTCTGTCTCACAGGAATGGTGAAACTCGGGTCAACAGGTAAGGTCAGCTTGTACTCGGGACCCTCGAGATGAAACTTAAGCATGTCGCAGATTCCAGCAGATGGGATCTGCATTCCTCTCTGGAGGACAGAGCCGGGGACAACTTCGGAGAAAATAAATTTATCTTCGGTCCAAATGTCGATGAAGAATTCCAGTTCGTCAAAGGAAAGCCTTGGAGGGGGAAGTGTTCGCCTATGCTGCTGTTTATAAAACAATTGATACAGTTTACAATAGGTTGCAGTAGGAGGATCGGGCCGTTTGCAAGTCGAAGGACATCTCCTTGCACATACACATTTCCAAAAGTAATCATCTTTAGCTATGTGTCTCCATTGCTTACAAACCAGCATGCAAGCTGCGAGGTCTATGCCATCTAAGAAAGGAAAAACAACCTTCAAAACTTCTTCAAATGACATTTCCGGATTGAAAATTGACTATCGGCAGCCAAAAGATAATTTGCTTCCTGTGAAAGAAACATAATTAAGTTTTAAATGTCTAAATCATCCATGGATTACCATTAAGCTCAAAACAAGAATGTAACACGAACATTTTACAGCAAGATGTTTATTGAAACAAAACATCAAACCATGCATTCAACATAAAAGATAATATAAAGGGTATCCTAACCGTCTTTGAAACTAAAACCGTAAACAAAATGACAATTCTTCTCTTCCCAGAGTTAGCTACTTTCGTATTGTACAAGAAACACCACGATCGGATCAATAACCTCTGAACACAAATACAATTTGAGCAATGCCAACTTACATCGACATCAAAACAAAAATCCAGCATAACCCCGAATTAGCTACTAGCTTATTATACTCCGATTGGACCAACAACCTCTAAATACAAATGCAATTTGTACAATATAGACTTGCATCAACACCGAAACATAAGTTTACAATACATTACATTTCCTTCCCAACTAGCCAGATACGCATCATAATACACACATCATGCGAATTTAAAGCATTCAACTTACAATATTTTCACATCATGTGAGTTTAAAGCATTCAACTTACAATATTTTAACAGTTCAACAACACGATGGATCGCCTATTCGACACTAGGTGCAATTATTACACTCCATATAATACCTTTCTAGCTTTAACAACTTACTTTAGTAAAACTAAAAAAACACAGATGATTCTGTGCTCCAAATTTCCACTTTCCAGAACAACCCCAAGTCTACTTCAAACAACAAAAACAAAACCCAAATTCATACTATATATAACTCTCAAAATACCACCTAGAAAAAACCATAACTTTGACTAGATTAATAGAAAGTAAAACAAAAAGACAAAATCAAACCCTACTATTACATGATATGTAAAAGAATCCGAACTTTGTAATGCATACAAAAAAATCAGCCAAAAAAAGCGAAAAAAATGGAGGGAAAAAGAAGAGAAGAGAAATGAACAAACCAGAGATGGAGAGAAAGCCAAAGAAGGTAGGGAAAAAGTAATTATTAACCTATTTATCAGTGGAACTTTGAGGGAAAATTCTGGAGATTCGAGTAAAATGGAAAGTGAGAACAATTACTTATAGAGGAGAGGCTGCAGGGTGCAGACAGAGTCGGCAAAACTTGATTATGCTTCCACCTATTTAGGTTCATCAAAATTATTCTTTTAAGGCTTAATGTAAAAATAGGCCAAATTTAATTTTTGACGTTTAAGAATTTTTTTTTTGTTACAAATTGATGTTTAACGTTTTTAATATTTATATTTTCAAGAGTTTGCTATTATGTTTGATCGTTAATTGACATATGTAAGACATATAAAAGTTTAGAAATTTTATTTTAAAATAAAAGTAAAAAAGATAATTTACTTTTATAAAAAAATCTAATTTTTTCTTAAATCTAAAAAAAAAACTAATTCCAATACTCTTTACCCACGTTGGTTGCTGCCGATATTGCCTAGGTCGTCGCCCTTCGTCATCACTCACTTCATTTAGCCATATTTTAATACACAACGAGAGAAATCATCGCTTAAATTTTTGGAATTATCACCCATAGTCAGAATCAATAAGTAGCTACAATCAACAAATTTTTACTGCAATCATTACTTGAATCATGGGGTTCGATCGTTGGATGTTCGGGCAATCAGGCCGTCGAGATTTCTGTTGTGGTGGCAGGTGGTAGTGAGGGAATTGAAATTAAGGTTTTTTAATATTTTTTTATAATTTTAAAAAAATAGTTTTTTAAATAATAATTTTAAGTTTTTTTAAAAATAAAAAATTTGAAATTTTATATACCTAACAAGTGTCAAATAACGATCAAATTTAAAGACTGTCCATGCACCTAAAAGTCTAAAGTTGAAAACGTTAGGTATCTATTTTAACAAAAAATTCTTTAACCACCTAAAGTTAACTTTGCGTATAGTTTGGACACTTATTTTTACATTAAGCCAATAAAAAATGTAACAACTGTAATATAAGTTTTAAAAGTTTGATGATTAAAATGAAAGAATGCTAAAAGTTTAATGACACCATTAGTATAATTTACAGTTTATTTTATTTTATGACTTTAGTATGTACCTTTCTACCTAATTTTATAGGGATGTTTTAATTATTTTTTGTTTTTTAGTTAAATTATTTGTAAAATAAAAGTTTAATAAATTTTATCAATTAAAAAAGAATGTTAGAAATTTTTTTTTTTTGAGTAATTTAAGATGATTGTAAGATAATATTTTTCATAATCTTTCTTAATCATTATAAACGCATACACCCTCTTAACTACTACTTCAACCTAAGATTTTAAGAATGAACAATACACTTTTTTAACTACCGAAAATGGACAAAGTTCTAACTTCTAACTATTATAATTCATGTGCTTTTCTATACGACACATATAATTAAAATCTCTAATATAATTATTATGATATTATATGATATATGTACTTGTACGATCCATAACATTATGAAATGAGTACATCCCTTATAAAATTCATGTATATGTTACGATACATTGTGAACCTTATCATTCCCATGTAATCAAAATAATTAAAAGGCTTGAACTCCGAACCATGCACAACTCGAAATGAGCTATTACAAAGGCTAAAATCCGGCCGGCGGAAATGACTATTGGCCGACGTTAACATCCTAGTGCTGCATTATTCGATTTGTACATCCCTGCCAAGAACTGCTTGTGATTCTTGATCCGACATGTTGTAGCTTGTACTCCGCTTGAAAGAATTGTTGCTAAATAACCGAGCAATGGAGCTCTTTGATCGCGGAGCTGGACGACGATCCCCCTTACTTGATCTGCAGCTGCTGTTGCCACCGCCACTGTCCTTTTTCGAAAGGTCCTCGGATAGTGTGTTGACAAGTTTCTCAAAGTGACGCCTGAAAGTCGGATACCTTGAAACCGATTTGGTAATCCCTTGTAACCTTCGTTACAAAGCATAAACCGATGGGGTTAGATTAGTTAGCATACCCGAATGTCAAGAAAGAAAATGTATTTGTTGCATTCTCACCGTCGGGCGAATGCATCAAGTTCAGCTCGTTTACGCTCAGATTCTGGTGGAGATCCGATATTTGAATCTTTCAACCGTGCTGGATCACCACACAGCAACACTAATTTGCCCAAGTAATCCTTTTCTTCCTCGGAAAGATTCTCTGCTTTGATTTGCTCTTTTAGTATCAAAAAGGGATTAAGAAACCAATCAAAGATGGCGTCTTTCGGTCGGTTTGTGGCTGTGATTTCCGTATTGTCACCTAAGTAAAAGCAATTCCTTAGATGATGTCAAAGCCATTCGAAAGCTCGTAATCTGTCACGAGTAACTCTTCTTCAGGGGCACAAGAAGGAAACAAATTTACTTACTCAACAATATGCCCGATTTATTGGCCTCCATGGAGCGCAAGAGTGCCTGAAGAAAGCAATAAGCAGGCAAGCCGATGCTGACCACTCTACTTCCTTTGATAGACTTAGCTTCTTCAATGTCTTTAGAAGTTATCAGACCTTCCAAAACCAGTTTCTCGCCATTGACATGGCACTGCTTAAATAAGCCCTCGAGTAGCTGCACTAATCGTGAGCAAACTTATTTTACCACCCAACTACAGCAAAATACAAAATGCTTGTTTTATTCCAAGGGAAGGAAACCACAAGCAAACGAGTCATCACCTCGAGTGGATTCAATTCAAGCCTCGTATTTTTAAGTGAATCAATGCGGGCTGGAGGACGGGGTCTAAAAGAATCAGTTCTCAGGATGGGTCCCCTTCTGTTTCTACGATACTGAGGCCTGTTCATAAAAGAAAGCTCGTAAATTTTCCAAAGTTTATAATGTCTAGAGAACAAATTATAGGAACGGTGAATGAAACCTGGGCAAGCAAGATCCTTCTGGCATGTCGAGGACATCGTTGCTGTATTCATCATATATGGACAACGAAGCAACAATGTAACAAAGCCCAAACCAAAACGAGGATTCCTGCAAATCAAAGCACGTACAGGCAAGTTATATGTCAAAAGGGAAAAATGAAAAAGAAGACATGGTCTCTATCGTGCCTGCAGGTTCCATTAAAACACTTGGGTCACATTCAATAAAGTATGAAGCTCGGAGAAGAAAACGGAACATGGATTTGATGTCAAGTGGTACCATGGATAATGCAACAACAAATAACCTAACACGATTATCAATGAGATCTCGTACTTCAAATGTCAAATAACTAATCAGAACCAAGCGTAAGAACTTATATAGCTAAATGCTGCTGCATTTATGAAGTTCTGCATCAATATTCGAATGAAAATCAACGGAAGATGATGTTTTATTGGAAGACTAAGCAAAGGAACTAAAACTAAATAGAAGATATACACCTGGTAAACCACCACCGCGGCATAGGCACCAAGGAAGATACTAGAGACCATTGAGCCCAACATTGCCCCAACAACAGCCAGTGGCCAGAGTAAGATAGCAAGGCCTGCGAATGGTACACATATTGTCTCCAAGAAAGGGCCTTCTCGACCTATAAGGTCATGAAATAACCGATTCCACCCTTTAAAGAGCATGTAAGGACTTTTGAATAGGGCAATAAGCGAAATCACAGGAAAATCAACCATGGAACCAAGCACTGCAGCTATTAGAGCAGGAAGTAGATAACGGATTCTGCAATGAAGTTCATAAAAAGCTCAGTAGTTGACCTGAAAAAGGATTTATATTCCGAAAAAAGTGAAACCCCACAATGCTTAAGTTCCTATCGTATGGGAACCTAAATAGCAAGCAGTTACAAAATTCTCCACATTCATGAACATAGTTCACTAAATTTCTTCTACAATTTCAACTTTGAACCAACTAGTTCATAGACGCTATTTTGTCATATAAACTGTAACACTAGATGTCAATGATGGCAGTATAAATGATTGTAAAGCAATAATAAAAAACAAATAAAATCACGTAGATTTAGTATCTATGTATAGGAATAAGTACTTGAATACAAAAGAAATTTGCATAGAAAGAAATCTACTCAAACTGAATTTATTACACTTAACCAACATCTGAGAATAGAAGTATAATCTTGTACGGACTCAATAGGTCCAGACCCCATAGATCCTCAATTTTGCCTTCTATTTTATTTCTTTAACAAGTGAATTGCACCTCGAACATTCAGGCCGGATCAAACAGAATTTGGGTCACACAACTCTAACACAAACTTTGAACCATCCGAAAGCATTTAGTGGACACGGTTGCCAATCTCTAAGCAAATAAAAGAATGAGGTAAACATGCATAACGCCGCCATATTCTTTGTGAGAGACCTAAATGATAAAACAAAGTCTGGACAATAGAATTTACTCAATCTAATTTCTTGGCAATAGAATCTATCATGCATTTACTAGAACCAATATGTGAAAGAACCAGTGAATTCAAAACCGAAAGACCATAAGTTGTGATCAATTTAACTTCTAATAGCGGGAGAAACAATTCAATGATAATAAGGAATAGAATGATGCACAAATTTAAACTTATTATAACAGGCTCCCATATAAATTTTAGACTTGACATACAAGTTGCTGAGGGTTTCATAATCAGCAATGCTCTTTGCTGATAAAAGGATTTCTTGACCGAGGAATAAATCTTGGCCATGACAGTAACATGGCTTAAAACAGGAAAAGAGAAGTTCGCATCTAACCTTATCTCGTAGTATTGTCCATTTGGAGGCTCTTTCTGTTGCAGGTCTTCCATAAACGAGTTGTAGGAGTGGAAACAAACATCACAGAAATCCTTGACAACAGTGAAGCTGCCCTTGACAGTGCTCCAAGTACCATCCTGAAAAACAGGCCAATATGTAAGTCCCCATATTGTAGAATTGACGACATGAAGGTAAATATTTATGACTTACATAAAAACAGTGGAAAAACACATTGGTCTTTCCTTCTCCTACAACATCAAAAGTGGCGAATATTGGAGAAAGAAAGCCGTACAATATTCCCCCCAAGATACTTCCAACAATGCCAACAACCACCCACAGTATCAAGACAAATGGTAGGAATAAGCAGATAACAAGTTTCAGAAATGGCCCTAATAGTTTTGCTCTGCCAATTAAGACAAGTAAGAAACGGAATACATCGAAAATGAGGCAACGCAAATGGGGAAGTCAAGGATCAAGAAAAATCACCTCACAATGCTATAATAAGTGCAGTAACAATGATATGGCACAAGGCCTAATATGATCGATGAGTTTCCGACCATCATAACAAGGCATACCGGAGGGCAGAAAATGATTCCTGAAGATTAACAGTGCATTAGAAGATTAGATTGCTTAGTTCAGTACCTATGATTCGCCATATATGCATTGACATTGCATTTAATCACTAAATTGCACCATTATCAGGCAGCGGAAGTCCCAATCCCCATTTCCCAACCCTCCACTTTACAGATTATAAAGGAAAAACTATCAATCAACATATAATTCTGCAACTAAAAAACAATCAAATGGAAAATATATCCTCAAAACACCAATTTAGGGACACTAACCTTTAATTGTGCCTAATAGAAGCAAGCCAATAAAGTAAGGCAGAAAGCAGATAAAGTTCCATAAAGTAGCCAAAAATCCCTGTGGAGGCTCCATTATTTCTCCTGAAATTCACTTTCAAGATCTTCACAAAATTCACTACAATTCCATCTTACAGCTTAAACCTCCAAAGTTTTCCCTGCAAAACACTGGTGAAACCCCAACTCAACAACTGAAAAATAAAAGACAAAAACCCAGTTCACTAACACCAATCTGCTTCAAAACCCAACATTTAAAATCAAAATAAAAATATTCTGAGACCTTGGTTTAATCAAAGCCGAAGGCTTTAAAGCTTTGAATGAATATATCACATGGGATGTGCAGTTTTTGAGCAAATTGGAAGTTGATAACCCTTTTTTCCCCAGAAGTCGAGAGGGAATCGAGGTTCGTGGATTAATCAGTTACTGTCAAGAGCTTGGAAAAAGCAAAGAATTCTTTAGTTTTCTCAGGTTTTCTTTATTCTTTTCGTTTTTTTTTTCAGTTTTCTTTGGTCCCAACAGGAAGTTAACGTAAGTAAACAACATTTTCCGTCTTAGAAATGTAATTAAACCTTAAAAATCCGCATTAAAACGCCGATTTTGTCGTAATCATGCTCCGTTTAGTGAACAGATGGGGAATTTGATTCTAAAAGCGAACGTGACATTAGCAGTGGTTTACACGCTTCGTTTACATAATGCCACGTTGCAAAGTGAATAAAATAGCGCGTGGGTCAACTTGCGTCTATGATCAGTTGGTTCACTGTTGAGTCGATATCTTTGCTGTCCAAAAATCATAAAGAAAATGATTTAAGACTGAACTAATGCGTTTGCTTTAGCTTACCACCCAACTTTGTTAATTTGTACTTTTGAAAGGACTGCTTTATTACATCTCTTTGGCTTAATGTATGTTTTAGTCCTTGAAATTCCCTTTTAGTCCCAAATTGATCCTAAACTTATATTTCATTGCCCACTTCAGTCTAATATTTGTAACAGTGTTAGAAAATTCGGTTAACATGTGACACTCACTAAAACACATTATAGGACACTTTCAGCTAATTAGAACGTGACATGTAATCTTCATGTGGATTAATATTAAATATATAAAATTTTAGAAATTAAAAATAATTATTTTTAAAAAAAATCATCGGAAAAAAAAAGCAAATCATTTATATAAAAAATGAAGTATATAAATGTTAAAATATCAAATAGTTATTAGAAAGTTAAAAATTAATTATACCAAAATATAAGTTTTATAATAAAACACGTACCAAAAACATAAATTATACCTTTCTTCATTAACTTTTAATGTAAAAAATCTTCTGGCATAAGTCTCTTATTTTAAAATAATTAGTTGTGGCTATGATTTCATTTCTTTTGTCCGCTTTAGAGTATTATGACAGATCTACTCGAGTATAAATAAAATTTATTATATATTTTTATATAGAATATTTAATTGTATCCTAATAAGATATCTCAATCTAAAAATATTCGAATCTCATAAAAATGTTAATTAAAAAATAATTTTAATTTAATATAAAATAATTAATTTTACCCTCATATTCTCGTATCACTCGACCTTCACATAATCCATATATAATGCAATTTGGTACATTCTTTTTATCAGTTTATTGGAAAGATTTCAAACGTTTTCGATTCTTCTACAAAGTCAAAGAATATAGAATCTACACTTAAAGTTTATATGCATACAATGTATCTAAATTTTGATCTTAATCAAACTTTGGGTATTACTTTGAAAGTTTACTTTTTTAATGCAATAAATCAACGTGAAAAATGTTAATTTAAATTTATATATCTGCTGATATAAGAAAAGTTCTAACTAGTCGGCAGAGTTTTAGTTACATCAATCGAATCAACTTAAACCAATCGAATTTGTTCGGTATATAAGATAAGGTTATTTTTTCTATAACTACAAAAATATTATTTTACAAATATATTTATTTGAATATTATTTAATATATTTAAAACATTTTAGATCTTAAATTCTAATTGAGATACCTAAAAGGGACAAAGAACTACATCTTATTTATAAATGAATAGATAATTTGAAGGTGATTGACAACTTCGATTCAAACTTTAAGTATTCAGGGTCATTACAAACTGAGTGAAAAAAATATTGGCAGTTTCCTTTAGTGGTACGTGAGTGGCTAAACAATTGGTGCTCGTACACCTAAAAGGGACAAAGGCTACATGCTTATGTTGTAACACCCCAACCCGTACCCGACCTGAATACGAGTCCGAGATGTCACATTGACATTTTCAAAACCTTTGTTATTGTAAAATAACTGAACATTTGGAATTTATATTAAAAGAAAATACAATCATATATTATTCAATTGTGTTTGGTATAAAATTTTGAGATAAAAACGTGTTTATGAACGGTGAAATACAATATGAACAGTACTACAGTAACCTGCTACAGTGATTTTCGTAAATTGCACATAACACTCGTAAAAATTTAACCGTTCATTTCTTTGCATTTATACTTATATAAATATGTTTAAAATATTACAAAACTCGATCAGAGCATAAATACCTAATTTACCTACTTTATTTATATGCCAACCTATTTATCACATAATACTACATACTGTGTAATTTACTTCTGATCTGATCTTTGAGCAGAGATATGTTGTTACTTTGAACTTAGCTTTGATCCTTCTGCTTCTCAGTACCTACGTGTAAATCACTTACACGCTAAGTCATAGACTTAGTGAAGCAAAAACATAATAATAATGCATTTCTCATAAATATAAACATTCAATCTATGAATTCAATCGTGTCGCATATAATTCAGTATACATGATAACATAAGATAATACAAGTACTTTTAATACCTTTTATCGTATAAATATATATATCGAACATTTCTCTACATACCATGGAACACATATACTACTTCACAACAAAACATACATAGTAGCAAATCAATTTATTTATTTACTCTCTGTAAAGACCATGTATTAGCCCATGTATACTTTTGAGAACTTAAGGTATGTGAGTACATTGAGGTTGTGCACACATATGCTGTCACCACAGCTCGATCAATGTCCCGAAGGACCAGTCCATAGATTCTGAAGAACCTAGGTAATCAGTCCATATGTCCCGAAGAACATAGGTAAACAGTCCATATGTCCCGAAGAACATAGGCAAACAGTCCATATGTCCCGAAGAATATAGGTAAACAGTCCATATGTCCCGAAGAACATAGGTAAACCCTCGACCCTTGGCATGCCAACTATACCCTAGCTCTCATATCACATAACATGGGCATTATCATTTAACAGTTCACATTACTTGTCATTTCTCTTCTGTCATATACCACATGTATGTGTAACCATATATTCCATATCATATCACATGTATCACGTATTGCCTATTCATATGTCATTTCATATAACATATATCATATGTGCATGTAATCACATAGATCGTATCATATAGCTTCATTCATATCACATATTCATATAAGCTCATAGTTCTTTCACATAGCTCACTATCTTATTTTCATATCATATATCTTATAATAGATTCTTATATCATCATTTGTTTCCTTTCTACTTATTCATAATCACATTAACATGTAATGCAAGCAATATGTATTAATACATACATGTAATCACATAACTTATACCACATGATTCATGTAGTCATTTAGATCATTGTCTTTTAACACATATCCCATAATCACACAAATCATCACATAAATTACCAATCAAATCACATTTTAGGAGTTACTTCTTACCATAGTAACTCCATCACTAGCTCATCGCAAGCCAATGTTTATTCAATAATATAAGTACAAATTAAATTGCACTCACCTTAGCCTTGCTTTGATTCGATTATAATCCTTTGATTATTCCGGAACTTGTTTAGGCTCAATATCTACATAAATATATCATTTCAAAACAACTATCAGAAGCCTAAACTTTAAACTTGATGTTAATAACTTAAACCGGTTTAATGAATCAAATTCTATATTTTCATTTAGGGGGGAATCGATACCCCCCCACGGGAATCGATACCCCTTGAACATACTGGAATTTTTCGTTCAAGAGGGGGAATCGATTCCCATTCATAGGGTATCGGTTCCCTCTACCCAGAAATTGTATTTTAAGCTCGAAAATCATCAAATTTTCCTTCAATTCTTCTATTTTAAACCCCTACCATGTCATTAAACTCAAATACCATTACTTAAACTAACTTATATCCATGAAAATCCTCTATGACTTCAAAATCCTATCCTTTATATGAAATTCAAGAATCATACTAAAATTTCAATATGTTCTAAATACAATTCTAACACTTCTATCTTCTTATTCTCATAGATGACAAGTCAAATTCAACTTAAAATTCAACTTATCAACTCTATTCCATGATTTCATATAAAAACTCATTTTCTTTAATCTATCATAACTCTTTTATCTTTTGCTTTTAAGATAACTTAAGCTTTCCTTAAGCTTAATTATCATCTAGTGATCATAACCCAACTTTTAAAACAAAAAATAATTAACAAAATAGCAAACTCACCTTTGATGTCTCTCTCTCTCTCGTGTGGAAGAACAAAGGAGATGAAGTGGAGAAAATATCTCATCATCCTTATCCCACATGCCTATATATCATTTAATTATAATTTTCAAGTCAAATGACCATTTTGCCCTTTAATTCTTTGGATAATTACTATAAACTTTTAGGAAATATTTCCGAACAAATCATTAAACTATTAAACTATTCTACTTTAATCACCATATTCTGAAATTTTACAATTTTGGTCACTAACCCGTATTTTGGGATGTTACATATGTATAAATGAATAGATAATTTGAAGGTGATTGACTACTTTGATTCAGACTTTAAGTATTCATGGTCATTACAAACTGAATGAAAAATTTTTGGCAGTTTTCTTTAGTGGTACGTGAGTGGCTAAACAATTGGTGCTCGTACACCTAAAAGGGACAAAAGCTACATGCTTATGTATAAATGAATAGATAATTTGAAGGTGATTGACTACTTCGATTCAGACTTTAAGTATTCATGGTCATTACAAACTGAGTGAAAAAATATTGGCAGTTTCCTTAAGTGGTACATGAGTGGTTGATCAACTGGTGCTCGTATACCTAAAAGGGACAAAGGACTATATGCTTATTTATAAATGAATAGATAATTTGAAGGTGATTGATTACTTCGATTCAAACTTTAAGTATTCATGGTCATTACGAACTGAGTGAGAAAATATTGACAGTTTCCTTTAATGGTTCGTGAGTGGCTGATCAACTGCTGCTCATGAAAGTTATTCTCACTTTTCATATTCTCATTGTCATGTATGTGGGATGTGGTATAGGTAGTTTGGTTGGTTTTTGATGAAAAACCAACCCTATAATTACCCATTAGCTAAGAGGTTCCTAAGCATCGCAATTCATTCTAAGTATTTTCATTTGAGAGCATTTGGAAATTTATTTCATCTAAGTGAGGTTTTGAATGTTTAAAAGATCATTGACAATTTTGATTTTCGTGTATCTAAACTTGGAGTGATCAACGATAATTCATGGTTATTTGATATATTTGATAGTGGTGCAACCACATCCCATATCTCAACATAACTTTCATACACAAACTTTTGATTTATATGTGGATTATATGTCATAATCTGTATATAGAATAATAATATTTTTAAAATATATTAACTTTCAACCCCTTTTTTTGTTAAAATAGTTTTTACCTTAATAAAAACTATTAGTTATTAATGATCAGCACTTGTTGTTGATAAAATATTTTCATATACACTTATTTATTAACATGAAAAATGTCACAACATCATTTATTATAATGAGATATTGACACGTCAATAACTAAACACATAAAAATAACATTTTAGCAACAGATGTTGATCGTCATTCAACTAACGATTTTTATATAAAAAGTTTGTCATTTTGACCAAAATTACAACATTAGAATCTAAAACATTTTTAAAATATATGATTCAAAATGATTATTAATACAAACATTAAAACTTTTTTATAGGAGTTAATGGCTTTATTAAAAATAGAAAATATCCAAATTACAATGAAGATTTACAACCACAACCGTAAACTAAACACATACTACGTACATTTTTCTATAATCAATAACACAAAAACTTAGTCACTCAAAATCACACAATGATCATACAAGGAAAAGGTTAAAATACATAACAAGATAAACTTGAACAAAAGATAAATATGAACAAATCTGATTGTATCGACAAATAAACCATAAAAGGGGATCAAGTTATTGAAAGACCACCGACAAACCGTAAATCAAGGTCGAATGACGTGAAAACCCCATCCATGAACGAAAATCATGTATCCAAATCCAATCCGAGAGTTTAAAACAGAGAAGATCGGCATGATAATAAATATCCTAAGTTTGTCTCCTTAATGTGTTTGATTTGGTTATGGTATCATCTCAAAAGGGACCATTAATGGCAAATAACCCAGGTCTGACCATGCAAATCCAGTACAAAGGTACCCAAAGGACTCTAGCCCATACCATTTATTTTTATAATAATTGCACATAATCTTTTAACAAAGAATATTATATTTAATACGTTAAGCTTAGGTTTATTTACATTGTCACTTTATCTAAAAAAAACGAATTTTTAATTTATTATAATTACGCTTTGTTAACCAAATACGTATATATACTTTTTTTTAACAAAGTTAACATTGACGATTTAATATGTTAATTATAAAATTTCAATGATATAATTGTTAGAACTAAATCATAATAAATATGAAAATTAACTTGGATCTAATTTTGTCAAATCATCAAGAATAAAATACTAGATGCTTGTTTGTTCCTTTAAAAAAATCATTTTTCAAAATCACTTTTCAAAAATAATATTGAAACCGATAAAGACCGAAATCATATCTCCAAACCTGCATGTTTCTAGGGTTTATAAAAGTTGAACAAATAAAAGTTGGGGAATACATATTCATGCAATGCTAGTCCATGATTGGATAGCTTTAGGATCAGTTTCCATACGCATGAAATCTGAGGCTTGGGAATGTAAACAAGAAACAAATCTTATGGGAGGTGTGACAGTATCTATCTCGTGCTTCCATATATTTGCCATGCCTTTGCCATCTTCACATGTTTCTAGCAAAAAGGATAACCTTCTTTTTCACCAATATATATGGATGACAACGTATTAGATATATGTATTTTTGAAATATTCGAAATCATAATTTTACCTAAATATAATATTTTGTCTATATATTATCTGAGAATTATTTTTTTAATAGAAAATGAGCCATTATCTTAGGCTTTTACACGAATATAGGGGCCGGCAAAGGATCAACAATAATAAGGGAGAGGGATTTTGAGGGCGCCATCTTTGTTAAGTAATCAGTTGTTTCATTTGTTTCACGAGGAATATGCAAGAAACCAACAAACCATGCTTTAGAACAGAAGCTAGCGATGGCTTTATTGCAGCAAAAGGATTGGTTGACAATGGAGGAGAAAGGAGATGAGGCATCACTACTATCAGTTTGAGCTAGTAACTTCTCGAAGCCGTAGTTCCATGCTAATTTTATTCCTTCGTGGATTCCCCACGTCTCAGCTTCAAGAACCGTTGTGGTACTGAGTGACTTGCTAAAAGCTCCGAGGCAAGATCTTATATGGTCTAGGAAAATGCAACCAATCAAATAACTAAATATGTATGTAAATATTATCTGAATATTTTTATCTGGATCTAAATTAAATATCATTATTCAATCGAATAATTAAATATGTATGTAAAAATTCTAAATTTTAAAATTTTAAATCATTTATTGAATATTAAATTTATAAAAATATGAATTTAAATCTACTAAAGTTTTAATTTAATAGATATAAATCGAATGGAATATGAATAAAAGAGGAGAAGATTCATGCATGCCAAATGAGGAATATATGTCATTGGAGTAGAGGGCCCATTACACATGGACTTTTAGGTTTTTGCTCTTGTGTTTGGTCTTTGGTCGTGGCTTACCACCACCAATGTCACTATATGTCTATGTCTCTTCCTTACTATACATGTGGGGTGTGTCATTGGAACATAATCATGTTTAATAAATCTTGCAAGATAACTAATCATTTTTATTAATATAATAATTTATAATCACCACAATAATCAATCAATTGTGGTTCATTGATTAATTGATTTCTTTAATTATTTTTTTATAAGTTTTGAGTTTCATTATTTTAAATTTGGTGGTAATCATCAAAATATTATCAAGTTTTTAAGGAATCTTGTGTCTGAAATGGGAAGTTTATCCCTTGATTTAATGAGAACTTAACTAAACTTTGCGTTTAATATTGTTTTTTTTCCTTTTCAATTCCCACGAAAAAAGTTAGAAATTTTAATTTAAACTCAAATAAAAGGATTAATAGAAAAAAATGACCTTTATATTATATAAGTTTAAACTCAAATATATTTTTATATAAAACAGCTGCTGATGCTAATAGAAAAGAGTAAAAAGAAAAGAAACATATTTATATTATGAAAATCATATAACCATTAGAGTTTCTTTAGTTGTTGAACAACCATGTTTTAGTTTAATTCGGTATAATTTAATATTTTTTTAAGTTATTTGTATTATTATGTGTACTTACTTATTGGGTTTAAATAAAAAAATAATCTTGTCAAATTAGACTAAACTATAAAGAAGATAAATCTTTTTTTATCAAATATTTAATATTAATTAAATTGAATAGCCTATATCAGTTGATCCAAGTGTTTGGATTTTAGAATTTATTGACCGACCTCAACGGTAAAAAGAAAAAGATTATTTTCTTTCTAGAGATCTGGAATTTGAGCAGTTATATCCGTAAGGTATATGTGTTTATTGTTAATTAAATAAAAAAATTCTGAACATATATTATCTTATAATCAACTCATACTAATAAAAAATTATAATCTATCAGATTTATGAGCAAAATTTGCCAGCCGACCAATGTATATGATAGGTGTTTTCAGCCCGCCAATCAAGCAAGCATGTCCATGGCAATCAGCAACCACGACCCATGTGCTTTTCTTTTTTTTTTGTTGCCTTCCCGGTTTCTAGGGATTTGATCTGACAAATATGAATCGATCTGTGTCGCATATTTGATTTTAGTAGGTGAATTTTCTAGTGAAAATTTTTTATATAGACAATGACTCAAACTCAAGACCTATTTAAACAATATTAAAGTACTTATCACTTGAATCAAGCTCCCACAAAAGCAGCAAACGAAACCCACGCCCATATTATAACTTTCTCCATATGTCTCCATCTCATTTGTTTTCCTATGTCCCTCACCCTTAGTGGCTTCCTTTTATTTATTTATTTGTCTCCCTCCACCCCATTCCATGCTCTCAACTATTATATAATACCCACTTTCATCTTTTGTTGGAGACATTGATACAGATCATAAGCTTCAAAGACAAAAGAAAAGGGGAAAGAATGATGAAGTTGAAGTCAAAGAGGTTTTGCAGAGGCAGCTTTAGGTTTGGCAATGGTGGGAATGGTGCAAAAGGCGGTGAAAAGAGATGTGGAGATAACAACAAGAATAGTACTATTAATGAAATCAAATGGGAACTTAGGCCCGGTGGGATGCTTGTTCAAAGGAGAGAAACTAGTGGTTCAAGTGTTGGTGAAGGGATGATCACTATCAGAGTCTCAACTGTTTCTCAATGCCATGATGTCTCCATTGGAGCAACTTCCACTTTTGGTAAGCATTTTTTATACACCTTTTATATATCAGGGACGAAATTAGCATTAAATCATGGGGTAAATTGTTTAATTTTAAAACTGACAGGGACCTAAGAAGTATTGAAACCAAAAATTGAGATTAGATTCTAAGGTGTTGAGTTAGTTTAGTCCTTTAAAATTTTGGGTTATTGATGAAGTCATTGGGCAAATTTTCTCAGGGGAGTTGAAGATGGTTTTGTCATTGATAACAAGCTTGGAGCCAAGGGAGCAAAGGTTACTATTCAAAGGGAAAGAAAGGGGTGATGATGAATATTTATACATGATTGGGGTCAAAGACAAAGATAAAGTGCTTTTGCTTGAAGATCCCGCCATAAAAGAAATGAAGAAGCATCATAGAATGACAGGAACCCAACAGATTGGCTCACCTTATTGTACAATAAGTGTATGACTCTTGATTGAAACCAACAAAAATATTGTACTTACTAACCACCAAGAAAAGTGCTAAACACATGGGTGAAATGTTTCACTTCGGTTAGATTAGGGACTTGGGTTGTATTAAAAGCTAAATATAATTTAATATGAAAGCTGATGCATTGCCACATATTTTGGCATAGTTTAATATGGTCATAAAAGTATGTTGATTCCTCATTTGATGTGATATTTTACTAACAATTTTCATTATTTTTAATTAGGAGTGTCAGGGGACACTTACGTCCACAAATTACTTGAACTTGATTGTGTTATTGTTAATCAAGCTTGATACAACTAGTTCGAGCTATCAAGCAAGTCAAATTAGAGTATCTAACCCAATAACGAAGATTTTATTTGAGGCCTACAGCACAAAGGCTTAATATAAAAATAAGTGTATAAATTATACAGTTTTTCTTATTTATGTGTCTAAATTATTTTTCTATCAGTTCAGGTGTATAACGTTAACAATCGTTACTATTTTAATTGCTCAAATTGTAACGACCGTTAAAAAATCTTGTTAAGTGACACATGTTGAATTCTAGTAATTTTGAAGATTTTTTTTTCTAAAAAAGTTAAAAATAAATTAGGGGAATCCGCTCCTCGCCTCTTCAGAAACATTGATTGAGTTCCCTAATATATCTATTTCATTCATTCATCCTTTCCGCCCGGACATGCGTTGAAATAGAAACTTTCGTTGACTCCGTTCGAAAGTCACTTCCCACATTTTTTTTTCGTTTTACACCCAAAACATATAAATTTGCTATAAGTAAATCCCTTAGGTGCTTGTGATGAAGGTGGTTGTGTTGTTGGGTGATTGTGTCATCGGTGGGTGGAGATTTGGTCAACGGTAACGATGGCAAACGGTAGTGGCCAGCGTGGGTATAGGGATTCGAATATTTTTTTTTTTAAAGTTTGAGGTCTTTTTTAAGATTTTCAAAATTTTGGGGTTTTTAAAATAAATTATTTTTTATTTTTTATTTTAAAATAAAATCTTCGAAATTACCAGAACATGACACATATTACTTAACAAGATATTTTAACACTGTTACGATCGAGACTTAAAATGACAACATTTATATCTTATGGCGACTAAAGGGGAAGATTAACATTTTGTCCCTTAAATTTTTGGCAAGATCCTTCACTGCTAAATTATATAAATAATTGTCAAAGTTGAGGGAAAGAAGACTTAAAGAAGGAAAATTTTAAGGAAGAAGAGCTGGCAATTGATGAGGTATTGAGTTTGATTACAAAAGTTAGGTCCCTCATATGGTAAAGTTTATTTAATTCAATCAAAAAAAGGAAATGTTTTATATTGAAAACCCTGTAAATGCTCATTTCAAGGTCATTCCTAAGTTATATATTTGCACGCCTAAACACATATGGTCCCATGACAGGTTTTGCATATTCCTTGTATTTGAAAGCAAATATGATATGTAGGGAAGCTTACTTTGAGAATGATTTGCAATATATAATCTATAAGTGGCCAACACATTTATATACTTTTTCTGGACTTGTTTAAGTTAAAAGTGGCAGAATAATTTGGTACACCAATATTGTTTATCATTTCAGTTTATTTCTAGTTATGCATCTTTAATAATTTTGAGTTAGTTTAGAGTTTATGATTTAAATTCCGTTTTCTCCGGTTCGAAAACTGTGATGTTGATTGTTTCACAAAAAATAAATTAAGAGAAAAAATGAAGATTTATGATGGATGCAGAGGTTCTCGGATTACTATGGCCATACAACTATATATATCTCGGCTTCTATGATTTAATGTACTATATTATAATCCTCTAATAATATTCTACCTATTATAATGAAATACTTTTTCTTTGTGAATATATATACTTTTTTCGTTTAAAGGTTTTCCATATTGTAATATGAAGTTTCGTCTGGGTCAACTGTAAACTCTTGAAAAGAGTTACTATTCACAGCATTTAGACATAATTAATTGTTTGTACTTCAGTAATTTTCTGCTGTTTTTTATTTTATGATTTTGTTGGATAGTTTTCGTGGTTGAATGATGCAGGTGGAAGCACTACTTAAGGTGTAATACCTTAAATTCGAGTGGGTCTAAAGTGCCACGTTAGGTTACTGAGGCAATCACTAAATTAAAAAATCTTTTTCATTTACATTTAAAACTTGTTATATTTTTCCAAACTAGACATCTATAACCGTTATAAAATACTTTCAAGAGCTCCATGACACATAGTTTAAATAAAAATAATGAAATCTCAAGTTTACAAACTTGGTACAATAATAAGGGTCCTATGAATACAATGCCCACTAAAAGCTACAGTACAATACTCTGGAAGGGATGTTGGAAGTCCTACTGTGATAGTGCTTCTCGAATGACTCATCTAACTAACCTACGAACGAAAATATCCGAACGTTGAGCTTACAAAGCCTAGTAGTATAATCACTAATCTAGAGTAACATTATAAGTCTCATAAACATAAGCATGCTAGAAGACATGGTAATAAGCAGTAGGTACATGCATGACCATAATCAAGTGCTACTTACTTAAGGTTCAATTGTTCTATCACTATTGTAAGAATCTCATGCTTCCCTTAGTCCTCTGCTAAGTGTCTCGCCATGAGTATACGTATATTGGGTCTTTATCCACAATATCGAACTACTATGCATTCTCTAAATCCAACACACAAACTCACTACTAGTACTCAGTCTCACATAGTCGTTAGATACTAGTTACAACTGGGGGAACCTGATGTCAAATAAGTCTCGATAAAATTCCCACGAAGCTGCTAAATGATCTCATGATCCTCACAAAGCCTTCGGGTAGATCATGGAAGGGAACTCAGTGTCACATAAACCTCGGTACAATTCCAAGTCAAACTTAGCATTGGATCGGTCTCACATAGCCGTCAAGCCAAGCATTAAGGATATCTATTATGAAATACCACTTCAATCACACATGTATACCTGGTGCCCAAAGGCCACACACAATAATAAATGCTACACCAGGGCAACCAAGGTAGCTCAGCTACACACTAGCTTAGCTTGTTATACTCAAGTAAGGTTATCCCTTCACTCGTTATTATCTCGCTCGTTCTCTCATCTAGAACGTTCTGCAGTGGTTTATTAATCTTTTACATCTATTAGTTCATTAAATCGCGATATTACGGTCATTTAACACTTGAGGTTACAACAATCAAGCTTTAAATGCCTTAGATATGTTGGGATTTTGTCTCGGCTTGACGATCGACGATGATGGCTTGACGATTTACGACGACTTGATAGAGAACATTGGCGGTGACAGATAAGCTTGGCAGCAACTTGAAAGGGCTATGATGAAAACCCTAATTTTACTTTGATCTAGACCATTAGATGGGATTTAGATCTGACAGTCCATGATGAGCGACGACTGAAGCTAAGGGTAAAACCCTAGATCTCTTGAATTTGGACCACTGGATCTGGCCATCCAATGGTTGGGGCACGCGGCGGCTGAAAGAGAACATGATAAAACTCTAATTGCTCTGGGTCCTTACGTGGACTTTCGGCTTTGGGTTTTACTTGTAATGGGTCACAACTTTATATTATACTTAGTAAAAGAACATTTAATATATATATATATTTCATTTATTTAAAAATAATAATGATAATGATAATGATGATGGGTCGGGAAAAATGATGATTACGGCAAATGATCAAGAATTCATGGATTTCGTAACAATTAATCATTGAATTAAAGTGTGTGTTATATGATCAAGAATTCGGTTAAATAGTTAATTGGCCGGTTACGATATCCGTGAACTCTTGATAATTCTAACATGTACCGTTACTAATGGCGGCATTTGAAACATCAGAATTAACCATTAAAGAAGCTAAGTTGGGACAATGTGAGAATTGAGATTCTCATTGTCAAATTATTTATATTAGTGTTATTACATGTCTTCGACATGTATTTCTTCCTTTCGTAAAAAATTCTTACGATTTTTTAAAATCCGTGAACTCTTTTTTTCTTTCTTCTATTTTGATCCTATTTAGTACAAACCTAAAAAAAGTAACCTACAAGATCAACAAAGGCATGCCTTACAAAACACATCTTATTAAAAAACATAACTGACTTGACGTGTCTTTGCAAAAGGGTGTTACATTCCTAAATATTTTTTTGAATGATATTTATAAACATAATAAAGAAAATATAATATTTATATAAAAATGTATCGTTTCAACTATTTAATCTCATTTTATTGATTGATTTGATTTAATTCAAATAAATTTTAGTCTTCTCCTATCTTCATTCTCTTTGATTCAGATTTAAATAAGACTTTAAAAATGTGATACAATTTTTGCTAATTTTAATTAAAGTTTCGTGTCAAATTTATTCACTTAATTTCCTCGACTATGATAAAGGTGGAGGAAGTGATGAAAACGTTTCAAATTTCAACAATTTTCACTTTTAATCTCATGGCAAAAATCTTAGCCACTAAAATTAATAATAAAGTCTTTTGATTAAGACTAATTAAGAAATTATTTCTGCTCTCAATTAATATATATGAATGGAATTCATTGACCTTTTATGTTGCATTAATATATAGTTTATAATAAAAATATAAACGAAGGTATACAAATATAACATACATATTAAAGAAAATTAGTGTATATATATATATACATTATGATTTGGTGTGTTTATAAATCTCATAATTGTATTTGGATTTCGAGTTTTTTTTTTTACAATTCGTACCTAGGAGAGGGGGGAGAAATTATGATCCCGGTGAGTATTGAACTCGCAACTTAAGAGAGAAGAAAGACGTGAACTAAGAGCTTTTATCCATTTACTCTAGACATTGTTGACAAATTTTGAGCTTCGTAAATCTAACTTAAACCCACTAGATCTATAATAGGTTAAGATCAGTAATTAATTATGTTATACCCTCAATTATAAAAATGTGATTAAACCAATAAGTTAAGCAGATGGTGCCTTAAGTTAGTTTGCAGCTAAAGCAAAGAGTCCACAAATAGCACAGGGAACGGTGCAAAAGTAAGATCTGCAATTAAGGTAAAAAAGTAAGATCTGTAAGTAATGGAATCTCTTTGGATGTTTGAAACAACTCTTCTGGTTTATTCATGCATATGTTTGCTTGCTTCAGTGTTCATTTGTCTATAGATGTAGGTTTTCCTCTGATTCTACTGTGATGATTTGCTCTTGGCAGGTCAC